GTGTCTAGGGTTGAGGCTTTGGGGTTTGAAGGGATGGGGCATACTGGATTGCTACTGGGGAACTTTGAGTGAGTTATTGTCAATGACAGGTTCTCATCGGAATGGTAACTTACTTGGAGTTTCTTAGCAGCGACCCAGTTTAGGGTGTTGGGACGACAGGCTTGGCGCAGTCTCTTCACAGAGTCCAAGAACTGTGTAGGCACCCTGAAAACAACAGTGCTCATTGCCTTTCTTATGCATATGGAGGTTTCCGATAGGGGGGGGGGGGGGGGTGCATACCTGGAAGACGTGCGCGTTCGTAGAACAAGGCCGGCTTGCGCATAATATTGTTAACCATGTGCCGACAGTGGCCGGGTCCTCCTCATAAAGAGGGTTCGCGAAATGGCTTGTAGCGCCATTGGCCGAAGGTTGGGAGCATGGCTGCGACTATTCTCCGGCAAATATGTTGGGATTACATATGGGGATAATGGAAAAAATGGAGACTACCATATTATATCAATGTTTTGAGGGAATATGTTGGGATTATATAGGACTATGTAGGGGTTATATTGAGTTTTTAGGGACCGGCTTCGACAACGTGGCTTCTGTGAGATCCGTCCTTCTGGAAACCCGCAAGCAATGCACTCGCACCTTCCCTGACAAGCCATCTGGCTAAGTCCAAAATCATGTACTGCTGCCCATCATAAAAACCCTCTAGTTGCAGGAGCCTGGGCCTGGGTCTCGCTACCAATTCGGAAGCCTGACCCTTAACTCAATTCTTCAGAAGGCACCAAAGTAACACTAGTTGAATGATCCAAGCTCTACACTCTTAACCTCAAAATTCTACCTCCGACACCAGAACTTTTCGGGCCCTAAATCCCTAAATCTCAAACCCAATTCGCCAAACCCAAGCGCCCCAAACCTAAAAATTCTAAACCCCTACCCCATCCCCATCCGCCCCCCTTCCCCTGTCGTTGGCCCTCATCGAACCCTCCACAGCCTTCTTTGCCGCAGCCGCATAAGCTCCCGCCCTCTCGGCTGAGTGTTGCAGCTCGGTCTTCACCTCTCCCAGCTTTGAGGGTTTTAGGCTGGGTTTAAGGATTTTTGGGTAGGCTCCCTTATTAAGGTTTAAGGGTTTCAGGGTTCGGGGTTTTGAGGGTTCTGATTTTGGGGTTTTGGGTCGAGTTTGGGGCTTAAAGGAGGGTCTCCCACTGAGTGCCGAAGCCCCAAGAGCCCGCCTTGTGGAGTATGATTCTTATGAGGCTGCAGTGGTAGAAACCAAGGAATCTGGGAAAGACTTTCGGAAAAGAGTGCGCTTTCAGTCTAAATAAAGTTTGGAACTCCAAATGAGGCCCAGCAAAGACGACTGTCCTTTGTAAGAGGGTTCCACTCTCATTTGCGCGCCTAGGGTAATCCTAGGAGGGATAAAGATCTTGCATGGGGATCTTCTGAGAAGTCGCGGGACTGCATGGGATTGCGCAAGGGATTGCAAAATTCAAGCCAGCAACTCCCATGGCAGCTATGGGGAATTGGTTTCCCCAACACTCCGAACTAGGACCCTATGACTGCTCGTGATTCTATGACCCGACTGTAATAGGGTCACAAGGGTTGCGGGGAACCAACATCACAGCAATAACCAGGCTACCAAGGACATAGTTTCCCAGTTTGCAGCCGCCAGGAGTGAGCTTGTCAGGAAGCCCCTAAAGCGACCTTCATAAATGGGGCTCCCATGTCAGGAGGCCCTAAACCCTAACCCCCCCTAAGATCCTTAAAAGTCTTACTGAAGACCAGTACCCCACGTCCCGAACAGCCCAAACCTAGACACCAATTCCTCATTCTAAATCCGCAGCCCCGAGCCCTGAACCGTAAACTTACTCTGCACCTAAGCTCTCGACCCTGAACTCTAAAACTTAAATCCTATGAGCCCGAGTCCTTAATGACCTCCCCTTTGTGCCTCCTCAAAGAGGTCCCCCCGGCTGTGGGCCAAGGCTAAGTTCGCTGCGGCTTTCTCATTGGCCGACGCCAGGGAAGCCTGCTCTACGCAGCGGACTTTCGGGGCTTAGGTTTCAGGTGAGATCTTCAAGGTGTGGGGGGGGGTCGCAACCAATAGAAAATAATAATGAGGAATGCATCAGGATCGAATGGGGTCCTGAAAAGAGACTACTCTGCCATCAAAGCCCGGCCCAGTCCTTCCGCAATCCCTATCCTGTTGTTGTTTTCTACCCTCACACTAAAGGTCACCATATTCAGTATGGAGGGGTGATGGAGTAGTCACTAGCTTTGGAAAAAACACTTGTCGCGCCCAGGGATGTGATTCCTCTACTTTGCCCCTAGGCCCTAAGCCCTACCTGGATCCTGGATGTCGTTTTTGGGGTTCTGTCCTACATATTCACAGGGTATATCCGCCAAAATGTAGGACATCCAGGTACACCCAAAAGCCTAAAACCCTAAACCCTGAAGCCAAACTGTGTCACAGCACGCCCTAAACCCTAAACCTTAAAAAAAACACTGAAACAGTGTCAACATCCTGGCCTCGACTGAGGCAATCTTCTCCTCGTTCTTCACGGCCTCCTCCTTGCTAAGAGGTTGTTCTAACCACCATCAGGGGTTATATAGGTGATGCTATAGGGATTATACAGGGGCGACTATAAGGATGATACAGGGGTTATATAGGTAGTTAGAACCACACAGCAGCTGCGGAGACCTATAATGCTTTCCCTCTCGCCTCCTGCACTTTCTCTACTTGCAACTACCGCTTGCTTAGCTTGTGTTGTATGCCGTCCTTCTTGTCCTTCGCTTTAGCCACATCCTTGTCCTCAGTTGCACCAGGAAAGAAACATCCCAGAAAGCAGTCTTGCGAGAAGATGACGCACAGTTCTGACACAATATCATGCTTTTTTTGCAACCGTGCTGAGAATTTCGCCTATCATGCCCAAATCTCGAAATCACAATCCCACTACAGGAAAATGAGAGGTTGGACCTGCTGTAGGGAAAGCGCAAAAGAAGGACTGAAAGACAGCCATTCGAAGCAGGACTCACGTCTAGGGCCCTTCCCAAAGCACACCCCATGCATGCACTCACCATTATTCCGACAGAGCCCAAAACCACAATGATCGCACTTTCAAGGGCTTTCCCTGGCTCTACAGGCCACTTTATGTATGACGGATAGGCTATCCCCTCTACTCACTGGGGCTCAGTAGGGAATAAGGGAATATAATCCTTAAATAACCTCATATGGTGTATTCCCTTATTCCTTACTAACCCCCAGGAAGTCTAGTCAAAGATCAGCCAGGTTGCTGGCTTCTCCATTTGCTCAGCTCCCTCGTTCAGGAGGGCAGCAGGCGACACAATAGGTGCTCGGGCTGGCGCGTCTGAGGCAGGAGTGCACAGGCTCTCCGTGCTGGCAGAGTCGTGCACGCAATTCTGCATGCAGAAGCGAGAGTAGTCTGTGGCACTCTCAGCAGCATCGAGATCCAGTTCTGCCCTTTGGAGGGCTGTGGCACTAGCTGCTTTCAGATCATTGCACTCTGCAGGGCAGCTGGAAGCTTGTGCGATGGTGAAGAGCGGTGTGCAGACCACTGCCGTGTTCCCGTTACGAAGAAATGATGGCGAGGCGACCGATGCCTGAGCAGCTGTGGAAACAAAGCAGCCTGAAAGCAATTGAATTTGCATTGGAGAAATCCAAGAATATGCAAAACGGTTGTGTCCGGCTGTTACATATGCATCCAGGGACAACAAGTCTCTCCCCCTACTTGAGCTAGTGTAATGGAATCGCGCCACCCGGGCAAAGCTTCTGACATTCCGTTGTCTTGCATCTAAACGCAGCCTCCCTAGCCCTACATCCCAACAGTGGTTCCCGGCTCCACACCATACTTGAAGGTTCATGCGTAGTGATACGTGAGGTAATAACAGCAACCAAATACTTATTCATACCTGTAACTGCCCTATTTAAGGTACCTGCAACTCCACCTAAAATCCCTTATGATCATGCAAGTACCCCTAAGGCCCGCCCAGGATTCCTACCACTGTTGCGATGTTACATTGCCCTGGTTCGGGATGGCTTTCGCGCTATGATATTGTCCGCTTTCTCCTACGATATTGTCCGCCTTCTCCTGCATAGATATCACTTATTGCTTGCGATTTACGATGCTTCTGATGATGCAGGTGATTGTCATCGTGTTGCTACCACGATCCTGCCACCGCGATTACTGCTAAAGCTACTACTGCTACTGCTGCTGCTGCTGCTACTACTACTGCTACTACTACTACTACTACGACGACGACGACGACGACGACGACGACGAGTAGTAGTAGTAGTAGTAGTAGTAGTACTACTACTACTCCTACTACTACTACTACTACCACCACTACCACCACTTTGCTACCACTACTACCACCAATACTAGCGCCGCCTGCTCATTCCTGCTCTGCTGCTACGTATACTAGTCTTGTGGCTGTTATTATTGCTACTGTTGTATTCTTGTTATTGCTACTGTGAATAATCCTCCTCCTCCTGCTGCTGCTTCTGCTGCTATGGCGGCGGCAATGGCGACTGACTACAGAGCCCTGAAGCCTCACGTAACGAGTAAACCTGCATTGATCAACTCGCCACAAGCTCAGAGGCATCCTGCATCACCAAAAGGCTAGCCTAGGACTATGCCTAATAAATTGTGTCATGTAATTATATTTGTACCAGCACCCATGACGAATCTCATTAGCTAAACAATTGTTGATGGAGACAGTTAGGGCATCACATGTATGCGGCCATAATTTGTGATCCTGATCCTGCAGCACGTGGTGTCCAGGTAGGCATAATGCAAAAAAAAAAGTGTCATCTTTTGCAGTATCTGTACGGGCTATAAGAAAATGCTGCCCGTGACAACTTGGGTTTCCCTACCTGACATCGCATCCTCTCCCCAAAACATCTCAGAAACCCTCATTTCCCCAAGTAGGTCATGCAGGCTTGGGGCCACCAACAACTAGGAAACGCGATTATGTACTAAATACCCGTATTATGGTAACTTAAGTAAGTTCTTTAGAAGCAACAGCAACCTCTCCATGATCGTGATTAGAGGGCCCAAAGGAGGGACCCGTCAATTTGTGCTTGGGTTGAGGGCTCCCCCCCTTCAACCAACCAGCGGAAACCCTGAATCCCAAGCTTCAAATCCTCTGTCTCCCGCGTGCTCAGGCGGACCTCCAAACCTTACGCGACAAATCCTAAACACTGCACCCTCCACCCTAAACTAGACCTGAGAGGTAGGTACCATGAAGGCTTGAACCCATACAAACAACCAAAAGTGCATACTTTTGAAGTCCTAGACCCTATAAACCCTAGATCCCCAAACCTGAACCCGATAAACTGAAAACACTAAATCCTAAACCCAAAATCCTGCACCCGAAGCCCTTAATCGTAAGCCTTCCACCGTAGATCCTACAACCACCCCGCCTCGCAGCAGCTGCAGGTACAGGCTGTAAGTTGCGTCTGAGTCTTCACGGCCACCGTGGAAGCCAGGACGGGGAGCAACACCTCGGAGAGGATGCAAAGCTTGGATCTAAGGACTTTAGGAGGGACCCCTAATAGGGACCCTTGTAGCTTATGGGGGCTTATATGGGGACTACCTAGGGATATAGGGGTTATATAATGACTATATAAGG